TATCGACAATGAGCAAAAGTAATTTACATTTTAAAATGAATATTCGGAAATATGATACTCTTTTAATGCATTAATTTAAGCACAGTATTACTGGCTGTAAGTTTAACTATCGGAACTTACTTTAATTTCTTTTCGTTATATGATCATACTGTTAATAAACTACTTCAACATTTATGTTCTTAGTAGTTTAGTAGTTTTTTCTGTTCATTAATTACTTCAGTCTATATTTGTCAATTTTTTTTCACATTTAATAATTATTCAGAAAACTGTTTAATTTTCATCAATGCTGTAACAAAGATTACTTGATTAAAAATTCATCTTCTGTAAAAATGCGACGAAAATGTTAGAGTGAAATGTATGAAATTCTTTTTCCATTTTGAATACTGAGTAAATATAGATATATTTTTGTTGAACGTATTTGTTTCACTAGATAGAATAGTGTATACATTAGTTACATTTTAACTGGCCAACTATCAAATTTATCAAAAGAGGCTGGTTTGTACAAAATATTCGTTCGTATTACATGAATACATTATTCAAATTGTTGATCAACTTTTGTAGGGCAGCTCTGATTTTAGAGTTTTGATCTCGCAGGGTATCTATCAGTGATTGGAGAGTTGTTCTTTTGCTAACAGATTCGAAACATTTTATGAACATCAATTTTACTTTGTTAGAAAGTATTGAGAATCATAAAAATGAATGAGTTATTAAAAACTAACGTGTAGTTCAGTTAAATTTAGTCATTTAAATATATCGCGATTGGCACTATACATACAGAACCTGGTTTTGATCCTATATACCAAAAAGATCATTTGCATTTTTAAATGTAAAAAATAAAATAACGCATCTATTTACAGTTAGCTGGTTTCAATGATTTTCTGAAGAATAACAGACTAGGTTGGAAAATGTCTGTAAACATTTATTTTAATAACTTAGCAAAACGAATGATCTGAAATGTGAATTACTTCAATGTCTACCTGTTCTTCATAGATGTCTTCTTAAACAATTGTAGAATAGCATCTGGCTAGTTTTATTTGTAGATAGACCTAATATTTGTTTAGAAACAACAACAAACATAGCAGTACGCTTAAGCAACAACATACACAACGTATTTATTGTAAGCATTTAGTGACACACGGTATAACAACCCATACTTCTTGAACTTAACAACAAACTATCTATCAATTAGACATTCACGTAATGCTTGTATGGTGAATCTTTAGTGAAGGGTAGGATAATGTTGCTCAAAATATTACTTTTATGATTACAAATAATTTTACTCAAACAGTGAGCAGATATTCTTTTTAAACCATACAAATGCTGACCAACCAATTTCACTTGAAATCATGAATTGATCCGTGTTAAACAACTGGTTAAAGAAAGTTTTTTTTTCCGCTGTGAAGATGACTGTCCATATTACGCTTGAGCGGATAGAAACAAATGATATATAGATTGTTCAGACGATATGGTCTCTTTAACTAAAGAGTGACCAATATAATTGGACAAAGTATTCCTTTGACTGCATGAATACACCTTACCATCAGTCCTTAATCCCTCAAGGAATAATATCAACATAAACTAGGGGTTAAAATAGTAGATAACACTATCTTCATTAAACATGTTATTATTTACATACTTTCCACCCAGGATAGTTCCGGTCACAAAAATAAAGTGAATTCCTAATGTTTAATTTCAAGTGGATGAATTGGATGGTACTAATTATCCTGAACTGAAGGTTTCGATTGAGAAACATTCATCGCCGCTCTGAGTACATTAGGCACTTCTTTCAGTTAAGATATTTAATTGCTTTAAAAAGCACAGGATAACTTGAACAGTTTTATTCAGTTGTCGAATATTTTTGTTAGTTATCTGTGGTTTTTAGTTCAGTATCTTTAAAGTGATATGGACACATTATTATAGAGCGAAATAACAGTTGAATAATCCGATTTTTTCAATACTATGCTAAGTGAATGTGTAAATTTTATGCCATGCAGTTTCCATGCCGATAATAAATTAAAAGGTATTTTCTTTAGAATCAAAATAAAGTATACCAACTAATGTGAAATGAACACTGCGAAAATCAACATAATGATAGAAGTGTCAAACTAGGCATTTCTTTCTAACCAGAGGGATTCACTTACACATTGAGGATATTATTAGAAAAAATAATGGGAACTTCTCAATCTGACTATTGAGCTGTAGGAATACAATAATATCTTTGTATAGTACTAGTCAAAAGAATTATTCAGTAGATAGATGACTTACTATTACGATAGTAATGATGACCATTAGCAGCATCTATGTTGAACATTGCTTAACTTTATTAATGGCTGTTCTTTTAACTGACAAAAAAATTGAATTCATTGAAAACCAATGTTTATGAAGTAAAAATAAGTAAAATGTGAATAGATAAACATGTGACCTAATTCATTATCATAACCAAAAACTCATGTATAAATTAAGTCAGCATTCATTACTGGTTCGATAAATAATGACAATAAATAAAGCAAGTTAACCATAAAAATAGTTTACAAAAACAATGCTGTGAATCAGTTATAATAGAATAAATATATGACGATTCAACAAATTGTAGCTGATGAATTTTCGCATTCAAAAGACAAAGTTTGCGAAGAACTCATATGAACTAAAAGTAATTTTGAACACTAAAACTAAACATTGAAAACTCATCTCTTTATTTAGGCTTCCTGACAATATGCAACCAAAGATATCAATTCGCGGTTTAAAGTTACTTTCAACTGATACTACATCTCAATTACATGTAATAATTTTTATAAATAATTATTTGATCGTCGGTGAATGTCTTCGAAACTATTTCATTGATGACATATTTGGAAACTAAAAGCTGTGAAATCAGTTAGTATGACAATTTCCCATTGACGACACAAGTTGGTAATTGGATGTTAGTATAAACGAATAGGGAATGTGGAACACTCGATACTAAGTAGCTCAAAATTACTGCACATTCTGGTGAGTCTAAAGGAGACTGACTAAACGATTTTTCGAGTTTTCGCATATCATTTCCAAGGACTTCCAGATTACTATAAAAAAATACTTCTGAGACTTGACCGTTTTAACCTATTCTTCAAGTGACGTGACTTAAAAAAATAAAATGAATAGCATACAACTAAACAGTATTTTATTAATGGATTGGAAAAACGGATTATTATATTTTCTAGATAGAAAAAAATACCATTAGATAAAGTTTGTACTGTAGTTCTGAATTAAACTTTGACCATGATTTCATTGACTACTTTTTAAAGTGATCAGTAAGCATTCAAATCATTACTTACAAAATCAGTTTAAGCAACTATATCAATTTTTTTTAAATATTCACTCTTCGTGCAAATAGAAGAACATTTTATTTATAAAAGACATAGTCGGTTAAGAAGATCTCAGTCTCTTCTAATGAAATGATATTAGATTTGATCTAATGATAATTGTGTTTTGGCAGTAAATTCGTGAACAAATAATAATCTTTGTATGAAAATAATAAATGTTAATGTCTTTGAAGAGGCGTCTTGTGTTCGAATAATCAGTCATCAGGTTCCTCACAGTTGCTAATACATTATTACGGATCTTCATCCTTTTCCTCATTCAACACTCACAGTATCTTTTCGCTAACAATTTCTGGTTTTGTCAAGTAAGAATCAAACTTTCTCATATCCGCATTTTACAAAACAATTCATTTGCATACATATACGCATATTCTATGTAACATTACCTCTTCCAGTAGCATAAATCATAAGATCTTTTAATAAACTTATCTAATCAATTTCTTTAGAGTAACTAGAAGACATTTTTCAGCATTGTCTAACATTACTTTTAGAACCATCGCAAAGAAACAATAAAATTGTGGTTTTCTAGTCGTTTTAGACTCCTCAGTGATGCACACAAATGATCACAAACAAAATTGAAGTTAATAAATTACATCTCCAATATTTCTTTAGAATTTAATATTCGAAATTCTCAATTTAAACTAAAGTATCAACGAAAAACTTTTTAAAGGCTATTTATAGGTATGTGTTTTGGTAATAAAATGCTTTTTTGGAAGTTACTGTTAGCTATTCCATTGTGCTGTATAAACATAAACCTTTCTTTAATAATTAGAGTCATTTACCAAAAAACAAAATTACAGCTTGTTTTAATGTGAGAATGGTTTTGTGACTTCAAACGCTGCAAAAATGTTAGCTGCTGAATTTTTTACTTTATATATAAACTCGGATGACATGTTTCCAAAATCATTAACGATGTCGATTACTCAAGGGTTTGAATATCTTACCACTCTACATAATGCATCATGAAAGCAGAGATTGAAAACTAACTTCAGAAATTTTAGGCGTTATAGGGTTAGGAGATTGGTAAGTTCCAGTGAACTCGTGAACTAATCAACCTGAAAGCGCTGGAGAGCTGTTTCATCCCAGTACGGGACTCATCAGCCGTGTGCATTCAGAACCCCCACACATGAGAATCGAACCCAGAATCTTCGATCTAGCGCCTGAATGCCTAATCTCTAGACCACTGAGCTGCCGTTCTACAGTGCTAATGTCTAACTTGGATGATTCATCCACTTGTCTTTGGGGGGTAGCCGTCTGACACTCAAAATGGATGGACTCTACCTGTCATAGTTTTATCACTAAAACTTTCATAATTTCCTCATGAAGCTAGCCACTAGTGAGTCCATAATTATTCTCATTATAGGGTTATGAATATAGTTGAGTTTCATTATTATGGTTTATCAGTATTATTATTATTATTGTCATTGTTATTATTAATGATATTCTGAGATTTCACCTAATAACGTATGAAAATATAACACAGTTCAGAAAGTTTGATAGTTCAGAAATCGAATACACTGAAAATTTTCAATTGTTGTTGATAAACAACTACATACTAGAAGATCTAAAATATAAAAATTCTAGTAAATACATAGTCAGGTAGTCAAAACTAGTATGAAATCACTTCAATAAGATACTACTTACATGAGAGAATACAATTTTGTCGAACTGCTTCAAATATAAGTGTTTTTCCAAATGTCTTTTTCAGGAAAATTGAGTCTTATAACTGACTAAATATTAGTTTAATTTACTGTGTATGTGTCTATGCAACTCAAAATGTTTATTAAGCACTTAGATAAATACGTAAACATTCTTTATTTATTCATTGGATTTAAATAATCTCATGGTTTTCCTCACTGAATAATTTCCAAGTACTCTTTAAGCCAATCAAATGGGTTTATAAATAAGACAAGTAACTTTAAGTGAGATAATTAGATTTCTTTTTAAAAAATTTTCATATTATAGCATTTTTATTCCTATATTCTGAGGATTACAAATTGTTTAATTATCACCATTGAAAATCTGTTATGCACGCTGATATTTTGAACAGATAAGGTTAGATTTGCATATTCATCTATACGCCTTTTTATCACATTAGCCCTAATTATCGCATACCAGAGAAACAGGTAAATGTATCAGATGTTCGAAATTCCAAGACGGATATGTGAATATCACTGATACAGAATTATGAGAAACAATAACCTTATTAATCAGGTGAAAATCAATTTTATTGAAATTTTATTGAAATATTTTTCGACCCAATTAATTTCAAGACATGATCAAGTAGGGAGATTTCAATGATAATTCTTATAATCTGAAACCTAGTTATTGTAATATTTTAACTATCTCAAAACACCAAGGGTATAGGAAATATTCTTATAGTACAACTAACGAATATATCTGACTAGGAAATACAAACTATTTAAACTGGGCTTCGAGAGAGTTTCGAAAAACAATATGTTCACATAAACTGGTGGGATCCACAGAAATCATTAATGATCTCAGCGAAATACTGTTAATATGATAAATGTTCAGAACATTTCAAGCTGAAAATAATAATAACAACTTTTGAAAACGTATTAGATAAGTAGAAAGAAACAAAATAATCAGCAGAAGCTTCCAAAAAATTTCTTCAACAGCTCATCGGTTAACACATAACAATAGTTTTAAAGATAAAAGGCACTAAGAATAATTGGTCTGATTTTAAACCTAATCTCAAGTATCTTATGAAGAAGATGCTTCGGTCAAGCCAAACAGAAGCAGTTGATGTGTTTACTACTATTTGTTTGTTATCTCAACAAATTAGGTTCAGAGAAACTGACCATTTAAAATACCGATCATGAGTGTGAGACTGTCAAAGTTTCATAACAATGTATTGCGAAGATATTTTTCTATCGTAACGTTCATTTTAACAAAGCAAACAAAACAGTTGAAACGGTCAATCATGATTCTGTGCCTTCCTAACCATGACGAAAATACTAGTGGAAACATCCTAGTTTCCTTCACATAATTCATTGTTTTTTTTCTAATAATCTTACTACCAATAGTTTCCTTAACATTTAATCTCCATTAATAACATGCTGTCAGAATATTTCTTACGGATATATACATATTTGTGTTCATAATGGTAATAAATTTTGTAAAAAGTCAGATATTAAGAAACAGAAAAACTATTTATGCTTTTATATGATACAATATAGACTAGATGTGAGTTTATTGTTATGCATTAACAGTGTTCTAATGAATAGTTAATGAACACATCATCCATTCATTGACTTCTCCTATATTGAAGCTGTGCAATTCATTTAAAAAATTAGCAAGATGGCCGACAAAACCCTCGGACCCAATTTTAAATTAGTTAGTACCCGGCCGTTTATTCATTTCAAATATTACAGTGGATTAGCTTTCTAAATTACTTTAAACCATATAACTATTCTATTTGTATTTGATCATTATTTTGGCCATGTTTCTGGCTTATGATGTATTTGATTTCAGCTGACTTTCAAAATTAATTGCTTTGATTTTCATAAAATAGTGCATAATTGTTTCATTTTTTTTGTTTTCCTATTAAGATATATATATATATATATAACTGTAACCGAGTATAGTTCGTATAGTTATACGCTAATTTTTGTGCACGTCGAACTGAAGACTATTAAATCTTAGCCAATGACTATCTTTCAGATAGATCTTCTGCTGTTCAGGTGATAAATATTGAAAGTATCTTACTAACGACATAAAAAATAATTTGACATTATAGAGTTGTAACAGGTTGTAACAGAGGAACTCTCAGTTTTGACCGTGTTTACAATTCATTGTACTCACTTTAATGTATGGAGTTCATGAATTCTCATCAACCTGGATAAGTTGGTGCACATGTCTGTATAGTAATTTTATTTCTACTAATAAATAACGTTTGTTTACGATGTCAAACGTAAAACAGAAATTAAATTCACTCTAGACAATAATTTATTTACTATATAAAATAGTGAATAAGTTGATATTGACGAATAAGCCTACTCTGTAGAACGTTTAAACATTCAGGTAAATGAAAATCTTTCAGTAAAGATTAATCACTTTCATTCAGCATATTAAACAGATAAAAACAAAGATTTTAATTATTTATTTCATTGAGTTTTTTTTAATAGTCACTAATACAGCCGAAAGGATTAAGTAAAAGTATACATATTGTCAAACTAAATGATTGCTTAGAATTTTCTAGTGATTTTTTGAGTAGATTACGTCTATTGTATTGTATGAAGGGAGGGTATATATTGATCAAAATTTATAATTTATGATTTCTCTCAATGAACTTATTTGCATAAAAAACAGTCATTGACATCCGTTTCCGCATAAATATGTTTATTTTTAGGCATTGTGTGTTTTTTGTTTTACGCTGGTCTTGTTGTTTGGGTCGTTTATAGTTTCCGTTTTTGGAAGAGGAAAGATAATTTTGCTGATTTTCCAAGTGCTTTTTCCCTCATTTAGTGTTAGTGTATATTCGCTGTATTATCATAACGCACGTTCCCCTTTCTTCTGCTGACCACGCTCTCGTGATGGTTAAACTGCGAGTAAGAATTATCATGACTGATTATCGTTACGCATCAATAAATCATTTCACAAATATATCATCTGTTATTCGTAGAGGTAAACCTAACTTTGACTTCAGTTCCATGAAGGACGCTGAATTTTTCCAGTTTGTAGTAATAATTTGATGATGAGTGCCCTTTGGAATGAAATGTTTGACTAGCATATGCATCGGGTTCAGTCAAAAATTTGATAGAAGTTGTTTCATTAGAATAAAGGCTGAATAACTATACTCATAAAGGTCTTATTTATTCTCATAATATCCAAAAATGAATAAAGTATCTGCAGTAGAACCTGTTTTTGTCACCACGTGGCAAATTTTTGTTGTATAGTTGGTAGTCAACGATGCCATATGAACTTTCTTAGACATTTCAAGCAAAATATTAAATGTATCCACTCAGTATGCGACAAGCACAAGTGAGTGAAAATCGGATTCTAAATGCAGTTTCACCATCAGACGTTGTGATATTGAAAGATAGTGGCTGACCTAGAATTTTATACTTGATAAATGCTTGTCATTTAAGCTATCAGGTGGACCGTTAATCATAAAAATACATACCGAAATTTCAATATAAAAAAATACTCAAAAACAGGATCAACAATATTCATTTAAAACACATCAACTGATACAATTAGTACAAAAATTTGTGAAATAATCATACTGTACGCTAGTAAACTTTGATCATAGCCAGTGATATTGTTTCACTACCTCAGAACCTTCAAATTATTAGTCTGTTTGGTAGTTTGTTGTCAGTGTGAATTCATGCAACAGCGTATCCAATTCAGAATACCTGAACTCATGTAAATCATGTTTTTAAATATCTTTGAAGGATTTTACTTACATACTTACTTACTTACGACTGTCAGGATATATATGCATTTAATTTGATCGTTTATCGTTTGCTGAAGTTCTACCTATTAGTACAAAGTCTAATTTACAGCCTATATGGTTTATTTAGAACTGACTTCGTTTGTTTTCAGTAGAATCAAGTTATTCTGAGTTACTTCTGATACTGTGCGCTACTTTTTGGATCTTTATGCATTAAAGAAGAAATAATCCTTTCAGTTTCTATATTTAGATCATTATTTCTGAAGAATTCACTATAGATTTTATTACTGTGAGCAGTTAATTCATGCACATAACTCAACATATCAGGTACTAATCGGTGTATTTTTAGTGTTCAACCAATGATCAAGTACCTTTTGAACTTTAATATCCAGAAGGAAATTCTAGTTTATATTAGGCTCTCTTTTATTACATGAAAGGACATATTTTATGTATTTTATGTTTGTTTCGTGCATAGTAAACTCTGTTTAAATGAAAACAATTTCAGATGTTGCATGAATCATTATAATAATTTGGTTTAGTAAATGATAATGTAGCGGAAATGGTAAACCTTTGCTTATCAGTTTATTTATTCAAACGTTTATTCAATTATTAACTTAAATATCCTTAAGTATTATTCTTCATTTTATAGATAAGTTTCTTTTCCGGTTCTTGTATTAATTTATTGGGTTTAATTGAGTATTCTTGTCCGTTCTAATTCAAGGTCAAGAGTAATAACCATCTAAGATAAGTTATAGTGCGCGCAAATCAATGACGATATTATATTAACATTGTTTATTGATTATAGGATGTCCTACGTTATATCAAGTCATGAGATTGAAAACAATCTTGCTAATAAGTATGACATCATGGAGTTAGGCTTTATGCTGATTATTTTCAAGAAATTATCTCCGAAATTCATAGTCGAGATTATACAGATGAATGAGTACATTTAGAAATACTTCCAGTATTGAGTGAAATAGTTTGACTTACTGCTAGCTCAGGATAACAAAGCAACCTTAGAAACAAGGAAGAAACGAGTCCAGTGCTACGCATCTGACAACGGTGACATTGTTGACAATAAACTTTAGATTAATAGGTTTCAACCCATCTTATAGAAACGTGCATGTACACCTGATCATCCTGAAAGGGTTTCTATATTTCAAGCCTCATAGGGTGACACTAACTAGTAGAAAAAACTAGAAAGTTGAGAGGCTAGTAAATCTGTTTTTCCAACATGGTAATAGATGGCAACGTTCGCAACCACAAATACATAAATCTATCTTGGTTTCACCGAACGAAACTAGTGAAGACCGGGTCAATCCCACCTCCATAAAAGAGACATTCAAGTCATCCAATATGTAGTTAAGAAGAGAGGAGTTGATATAACTTCGTAGCATCACTTGATGATTTCTTGCCTACTGCTGTTAACCCTCGCGGCACATAAGCTACTGACCACGATTCTCCAAACAGCTTTGTAATGGACATTCCTTTCCGGCTCTAACCGACTGCTACTCGTTCTCTTTATATCCGTCTCCGATTCTCTGCACAGCGTGTTCCTTAGTCTACCTCTTTTCCCTTCGCCATCGGGATCCACATTTAGGTCTTGCTTTGTGACGCAGTCGGGTGATATTCGTAATGTCATCAGTTTCCAACTCAAGTAATTTTTCCAAATTTATCCCTCAGAATCTGGCTTATCCTCTGACACATTAGGTTACTGCTGATTGCGTCCGATCAACGAATCTGAAATATCTTGAGTTGGCAACTGTTGGTAAACACCTGTAGTTGGTATATGATGGCTTTCGTGGGTCTCAAAGTTTCCGCTTCTTGCAGCAGAACTGTCCTGACATTCGCTCCGAAAATTCTGACGTTGATGTTGGTTGACAGGTATTCTTGAATTGCCTTTTCCTTGACAATCCATATCTTGACATCTGTATCGAATCCACCTTCTTCATCAGTGATGTTGCTCAGATATTTAAAAGTTTCTACATCCTCCAAAGCCTCTCTGTCAAGTGTGATTTGATTATTGCATGTCGTGTACTATCAGAAAAGCTTGATTTTTCCCTTGTAAGTGTTGAGACCTGCCGCTGAAATCGCTAAAATTTATTTCAGAGAAGCATTCAAAACATTCTAATACAGCTATTCTTCAACACATCAACTGATCAAATGAGGTTGTGAACTGCCAATAAACTTTTAACATTAGTTAAGTTTTTTTGATCTAGCTATTCAAACTTATTCATTCCTTTATAGGGTGATGAAAGTAATCAATAATTATTCACTGATGTATATTTAATTAAAGAAAACATATGTTGCAATTTATTTATGAAGGATCTGACTTTGAATCATATAGTATCAGGTTTGTACAGCTATGCAGTATTAGTTTCGCGTACACACAAAACCGACGTAATGACATTAATTAATACCTAGTTATAAACTATGATGAGATTTCTGGTTGAATGGGCGAACATATAATAACTTAATCAAGAGAACAAACACAAACTGAGTATCACTACTCAGTAGCTATGCTTTAGAAGAAATGTACTGACTGGAAATTCCAACTATTAATCAGTTTACACATGAAACCTGAACTAAATATTATTCATAGAAGCATTAGTAAACATGAAATTTTGGTCATGTTATGGAGCTTTTTAGGGTACTTATACTTTATTTTATAAATAAAGCTTATTTACAAGAAAATGAACAACTCACACACTTGTATAAATGTCATTATTGTTTGTTTGTTCAAAACTGGATAAAACATCAAAAATTATCTGTATACATATATGATAAATAGTAAAAATAAGGCCATATGTTTAATAAATTATATTTTACAGAATAAGCCTAACCTAATATAATTATACAAACATTTATTATTCACATTATACACAAATAAAATGACAAATAAAGTACACAGTGAATAGTAGATCTCAACTACAGATGTCAGATTTGTCCACAAAATATATGTTTAGTAAAAGAGATAAAAAGTATACAAGTAAAAGCCAATAAAAATTCAAATTCAATTTCCAATTTTTGTTACGGATAATTAGCTATTTTAGTTTAATTGAACAAAAGTAATGCAGTGAACATTTAACACTGGATAAGTAGTAAATTATTCATCTTAATTTTTTTTACACAATGAAATGCAGACAAAAAAATTAGCAACATGAACATGAGTGAAGTAATATGAATTGATTATTTTCCACTAGATTTTCATCAATTGCTCACAGGCAACAGTATTTTAAAATTATACATATTTAGTCGAGTGAAACTGATTAAAACTGAACATGTATCATTATCGTGAAATGAAAATTCGAATTAATTTAATCGAATTAAAGTAGTTTTGCCAATAAATAGTAATAAATAATAAACACATGAGACTTTAGAACACTAAAAATGATAATGTGAAATTTTAGAGATAAACATTGGTTACCTAATACAGTAAAGAGAAGCAATTAATCAAGAAGGATATGAGTTACAGTTACTCAGTTTTAAACGAAATAAGCGACAATGTTCAAAACTGGTGTAGTAAAGTAAATGTAAGGTTACAATGATGAGGAAGAATTTACTACTCTTTTGTCCAGAACATGTGTTTCGAATTCCAATGGTAGCAATGTTAAGAGGTTACAAATCTATAAAGTTCTGAAATTTGGTATTCTTAACAACAAGAATGCTACTTGAAAGAAATTCACCAACTTGCCGGAGTTTTTTACATGATTCATAATGTCAAAAGACTGTTATGAGTATTATAATGCATATGTATCGAATCACTGACATACAATGCTAAAATCCCCGAAAAGAAGCGTCCAAAGGCATGGTAAGGTGACTCATTCATCGACAAAACAGGCTGAACTGGGATATCACATTTATGCATCGTCCGTAGAGCGCGCTCAGGTCAATCAGCAATCAACAAACACAACGACACTGACCCAATTTATCAACCAATCAGAAAATCATAGGTGACATAGGATGAAAAAATAGATCAAAAAAGTGGGATACGGTCGAAACAAAGGTGCAAACAACGACAGGTCAAAAGTCAACAGCAACCAATCAAGATCAAGGTTAACAGAACAAGCTACGGGTCAAGCGTGGAGAAATTCGAATACTTCACTTCTATCTGAAGTTTGTGCTAATGATGTTGTTCAGATGAACGATGAAAGCTCCACAACCAAACCATCCAGCTCAGAGAACGAAACACCACCACAGTAGAGCGCATACATTAAGGAGATGGGAAACCTGATGCTTTGCAGTATTTTTTAAATAAAGTTTTCAATTATTCTTTCTTTTATAAGTTAACTGAATATCTTCATTTTTCAACTTCCCAATCAATCAAATAAGTCCGTTTAATGCATACTTACTTTAGGTCTTAATTAGTCATTTAGAAATGATTTCAGCGTAACAACTTAATTAGTTGTGTTCATTAACTGGATATATGGACGTTTATCTAATCACCGGATCATTATTTTATCATTTTACTTGCGGTTCCTAAGTGTTGTGATTCACTATTTAGAACTGAAACCGCAATTTCGGAGTATGTTAGATAAGATAGTGGTTAATGACATCTGACAGATGATATTCACAAATAACTTGTCAGGATACTGAAACTATCCTTTGCTTCAGCACAAATGTTCACTTGCTCGATGCAAGGAAGAGAAATTAGACTGGGGGCAAAGAGTTTATTTCGTATCAAAAACAATTCCAAAACTGTTTAAAATGACATTAAAAATCGAATCTCCGAAAAATATATACACTTAATAAAGTAATTCAGTTTACAAGAACGACTAGT